ATTCTATTCTATTCTATTCTATTCTATTCTATTCTATTCTATTCTATTCTATTCTATTCTATTCCATTCCATTCCATTCCATTCCATTCACTGTTTCCTAGTATGATTTGATTGCTTATTTATAATCTATGACTATCATTAAGTGTTGTACCTGATGATTCTTGACAAATGTATCTTTCCTTTTACGTACACTGAGAGCATTTGCACCAAAGACAAATTCCTTGTGTATCCAATCACACTTGGCCAATAAAGAATTTCTATTCTATTCTATTCTGTTCTGTTCTTATTCTTCTTATTCGCCATTTCAGGGATGGGATTCAGCCGGTTCAGACCGATTCGAGAACCGGATGTTAAATTTACATCTGGTTTGGCAAACTGGTAGTTTCTACAACTGACTGGCCCCGCCTCAGCCCGCCCTGCCCCTCCCAGGAGTCCCCATGCGGCCTGCTTTGTACCCCAGGTAAGTGCAAGGGGTGCGTGGAGCCCGGGGAGGGTGAAAAACGGGCACCCCGGAAGTTCGGGAAGGCCGGAAATGGGCCTGTTTCCAGTTTCTAGGGAGCCTCCGGAGCCCAGAGTTAGGCAGTGAATCAGTGGGGAGGGGGGGTTATCTCCTCCAAAGGCACATCTGGAACATCTGTGAGAAAATCAGGGAATTGCAAAGGACACTTTTCTGGGCCCTGTCTGTGCTTCGGATACCCGATTATTCCAAACTGCAAGCAGCATTTCTTGCAAAGAGAGGCTAAAAAGCACCAGCTGCTATTTCAACGACAGCTGCAGCAGAATTTTTAAGAGATATTTTCTAAGCCCACTTAAATTGACCTCTGTCTGAATGAGTGAGATGAACAGCAAAGGAATTGAATGAATAAATTGATCTTCACACACATCTTTTATTTGGAATTTTCCTCCGCTCCACCCCTGGACAGTTCTTCCAAATGGCCCCTGGTCTTCCTTTTCTTGTTTTTTTTTTGCAGTCTTTTACCACACCCATCTTTGCAGAAAAGGTGACTCCTGAGATCTTTTGGAATAGAAAACTTGTCCTCAAGGTTCTTACGGGGCTGCAGTTCCTGCCCTTCTCTTTGCTGTCTGTGGAGCGCAAGAGTTTAGCCAGCCAGGGTTTCCTCTCTCTCGGTCTCCATTGCTTCCTTCAACTTCTGGTTGTTGTTTTTATTTAAACCTGTCAGCTGACCGTCTTCCTACCTTATTTGCTGAACAGCATTTTGGAGTATTTTGGCTCCATGACATCACCTGGGTTACTCATCAAATCTAACCCACTGCATCTATTTTTAGCTTCTATTATCTCGTGATGATACGGACCATGGCGGAGGTCACACCTCGTGGGTCTGATCCTTCTTGCTTCCTGGAGTTTTGCGTTGCAAGGAGTCAGCACCGGTGGTTTCCGGCTTTCTGCTGGCCAGGCAGAACTTCTGATCTTCCCAGCACCGTCTCCAGGCAGGGCGTCCAGGGGAGGCTCGGAGGCTGGGCCTGCGGTCAATCTGGCTAGTTCTTTTTCCTCTCCTCCTCTTGGAGCCCTGAAGCCAAATCTTCCTTCTTATTCCACGGTGTTTGCTTACTTCAAGTGGTGGGATTCAGCCAGTTCGTACCAGTTTGGGAGAACTGGTTGTTGGAAGAAATCATTTAAGGCGGAGAACCTCTTGTTTAAAATTATTTGAATCCCACCCACTGGCTTATTTCCAACTGTGGCACTCCGGTCTCCAAAATTAGGATGGCTCTTTTTGGATGAAAATTGCTCCGATCCATTTACTCCCTTCCGCTTCGGAAGAGACTGGGATCTACATGGGAATCAGGCAGTCCTCATTCTGCAACCGTTCCAAGTTATACTAGTTCTCCCTGGAGATGTTTACCTCCCCCCACCAGTTCCAAAGGCCATGCCCCCTCTGGTCACATGATCAACATTTTGGTCACTCAGCAATGGATCCGCATTTACGACCATCTGCATTGTCCCACAGCCACCCGACTGCTTTTTACGACACTTCTGCCCAAAAAACTCCCAGCATTTACATCTGGTTTTTCAGTAAAATCAGACAACGGCGGACAACTGGTTCACTTAATGACCATGGGGTTTGCTTAATGACCCCTGCAAAAAAAGTTTGTAAAATAGGTCAGACCCGGAAGGGACCTGTTTTATGACCATCACAACTTCTGGCCCTAAGTTGTTAAGTCGAGGATTATCCGTGTCAATAAGGTCGGTTGGGCTTTGAATAGAGGTAATTGCTTTAACCCCATTTTGTTAACGAAGGCTGTTCCCGTTTCTTCTTCTTTCCTGGACTGCAGGGGTGGATTTGTGGCTCTTCAGCTGTCAGATGGAAGCTGCCCATGCCAGATTCCCAAAATATGAGCCTCTGGTCTGGGCAGGCCTGCGCCGAACCTCTTCTACCATGCCCCTCCTCGCTCTTCCATCTCGCCCTTAGAGGCGTTTCGTCCTTTCGCCTCTGGGCCAGGGGTGGGATTCAATTTCTTTTTTACTACCGGTTCTATGGGTGTGGCTCGGTGGATGTGGCTTGGTGGGCATGGCAGGGGAAGGATATACGGTAAAATCCCCCTTCCCTCCTCACACCTTTAACCTGCTTTCCAGTTCTGTTCTCCTGTGCAGGGCAACAAAAGAAGACCCAGCCGATCAGCTAGGACTCAGTGGGAGGCAGAGAACAGATGGTGCTGGAACTAGTCAGAGGTGGGATTGGCTGGTTCTCCGAACTACTCAAAATTTCCGCTATTGGTTCTCCAGAACCGGTCCAAACCGGCTGAAGACCACCTCTGCTCTGGGCCCCTCAGCCTCAGTGGCCGCCATTTCCAGAGAGAGGGGAAATGCTCTTTGGGTGCCTCCATAAAATGGACTCTTCGTTGCAGTGGGGGCTCCCGGAGGGTACATGGGGGGGGCAGGAAGCAGGCAAGGGAGGAGTGGAACCCCAACGCTGTGGCGTCTCTGGCTTGAAAGCCGTTACAGGTATGCAGGGGGCAATCCAGAGTGACTGGCTGAACTGGTCACCAGCCTGAGTGGTGCACCAAAAAAATGGATTTTAGGTGCTTTTCATCTGCACCCTTCCTGCATACAAACCCCAGTGCTCAACAGGCTGAGATCCTCACTTTCTTCTTCTAGCATTTCCTTTCAGGCAGCACAAATCTCCTCTTCCCTTTAACTGGCCCATGTTCAAATTCAAAAAAGCCCCTGACTCAAATGTCCAGCTGCACTAATGACAGAGCAGATGCCGTTACTATCAGGTGCAGACAGTTACTATCAGGTGCAGCTCCTCTCTGGTCCAATTCAGGCCGGACTGAGGCAGCGTCCAGTTCCCCCTCAGGCGGGGGTCGCAGCAGCAGCTGCCCCAGAAACGTGCCTTGCAACCTTGCCCCAGGGGCACCACCCTAGTTTCATCTCTCACCTGGGCCTTCCTTCCCGCAGCCCCCATCCTGCCCAGCAGGTGGATTCATGCCAACCAGGGATTCCCAAGGGGGGGGGGGCAAACATGGCGACTGGAAGACTTGTGGACTTCAACTCCCAGAATCCCTCAGCCAGCTTTGCTTCCCTTTGATTCCCCTTCAGCACTGGAAACGGAACGCAGAAGGGGAAATGGAACTTAATACACCAAGGTAGGGCAATTGGGGCGGGGGGGGGAACCCCCTCCCAATGCTCTCCTGGTTCTTGGAAG